TCCCGCACCATTGGGTGCGAGGCGGAGGGGGTGGGGTTTGAACACACGTTTGCGGGCGGTGCTGGTTGGGGCGTGCGGCGCCGCCTGTCGGCCGGGACGGGCGGTTAGTCTATCGCTGCCTGAATGCTGACTGGAAAGCGGCCGGAATGTGGCTTTTTTCTTGCTTTTTTTGACTGGACCTACGACTGTGTGGCCCACACTGCATCTGTTTCATAATGTGTCTCAATACCGAGCACCTCCAAGTTATGTGAAGCTTCTCTGTAGAAACGAAGTAACAATGGGGTAAAATCAAATACAGAAAGTTCTTCTTTATCTCTCTCTTTTCTTTTTCTTTTTTTCTATTTTCCTCCAGGGAATTAGAGAGTTGCAAAGACTAGCGAAATTCAGGCATTCCCCTGGAGGTGAAAGTATCCTCATTCATTGTCTTTAGATGCCCGAAACCAGCAACTGGAGAACATTCCGTTAGGACAGTTGTCTGTCCAACATGAAAACCGTCAGTGACGCCATGTAGTGCAAGGAGGTGAGCCCCTCTTGCGCTGACTTAGTAGGGGAAGCCACTTCTTCTAGCGGAAAGCACTCAGAGCAAGCTTTCCTACCAAATTCATCGCACGTGGCACTACTCCATTACACACTTCTCATCCCCAGCGTCGGGAAGGTGCCAAAGAAGTGCTATGTAGGCATATTTGTTTTTCCTTGTTAGCCAAGATGATCCTCAAAACTTCCTGTTATGTTTAAGTGCTACTTGTTCTGAAGTAACATTTTGGCTTTTGTAAGGTTGAAAATCTTAAATAGGTGTGAGAAACAAGTACTTTTGCATGGCTATGACCTGTGACCTGCAGTGACAGTGGTGTAGTTGTCATTTATCTTAAAAGCTATTTCCTTGAGAATAGCAAACTTGGAAAAACTGTGTATAGAATATTAAAAAAATTTCAATTTACTACCTTACTTTTGAAGCAGTCTAGTATTCTATTCTAGTATTCCTGTCAGTCCGTGGATAATTTACATCCTTTTTAAGGCAACGTTTTAAGACATATTTTGTCTACATACTAATCTGAAAGTACTTATCTTTTCATTTTGATGCTTACACTTTTCTATCAAGGTTTTAGACTTTTTTTCATAATGTATTTCAGAATAATTTGAAGCATTTTCCTCCCTCAAAAGATTTGTGATGAATTTCAGGGAAGATGAGATGAAATTTTATTTCTGCATTAGCAACTGAGCAGGCATACAGGATACAATTGCTCATAAACTGTTTTTTCACTAAGTTCGTTATTCACCTCTGAGTGTTTTCATTGGAAGTTGTAGGGGAATGCAAGATAAAATTATGTAAGCATTTAAAATGAACATTTTCAGAAATTTACTGAAGCAATTGATAAGGACTAATTGACAGGCCCACTTCCCAGCTGCATTGGCATTTTTCCATGTCAGTGTCCACAGATGATAGCTTCTAGGAGTGTGGTGCTTCCAGAGAGATTCTTAAAAATTCCTGAGGAAAAGACCAGCGGTTATTCACTCCGGCGCCAATTCACCTTTTTCGGAAATGCACTCGAATACGAGAAGTTCTGTAGCCTATTTGTGAACGGAGACTCGCAAGAATAAACTGGTTCTCATAATCCAAGTTGGGAATGTCATGTATCTAGTACTCTTTTAAATCCTCACCTTCTCTTTGTAAACTCATGAATGCTCGGTTCTCATTCCTGGAAATGCTCTGAGCCTCCTGGGACACACTCGGGACAGCTCTGGTATTCGACAGTCTGCAGCTGCACGGAGCTGCTGCGTGGAGCTGCTGCATGAACTCATGAAGTTCCTCAGGGCAGTACGATTGATACACGCAGAATCATCATGCTCAGCGTCTAACATGCATCGGATCAGAAATTCCTAGTTGGTGACTAACAAGCAAGACCCAAGGGTTTGCTTACATGGAAGAACAGTACAGCTGGCTGTAAAGATTTTCAGTATCCTCTCATACTGTGGATTTAGAAACACCTTTTTTTTAATTAATGTCAGATAATAAAGACAAAAGGAACATACAATAAAAAATTTAATCTTTATTATTTCAGCGCATTAATAACGTTGTTTAGCATCAGTTAGGGTAATAGTAGCATTTTCCTGCATGCAGTTCACTAATACGGTATTAGTAAATAATTTTAATAAAAGTAATCTCTATTTAATTTTCCTGTGTAAGAAACATAAAATGTCCTGATGTGTTGGATTATACAATTTTGCTACTTTCTCTTTGTGAAAAAATATTGTGGATCCAAGATAACATTTAGAACTGTTCTTGTGCAGCATGAATAAAAAAATTCTGTGAGCAAATATGAGAAAAGATTAAGGATTCTGTGAAAGAAAGGTTCTGTCTGAAAACTTATGATGCAGGCACTGCTTAGACATTCAATTTGAACTTTACACCATTCCCAACTGCAAAAAAAGTAGATATTTAGAGGCAAATTATGAACTTATTTTGCAGAAAGTATTGGCATGTTTGCAAATATTGTAAAAAATAAGAACCTACAGCTACCCATTCTCATAGTTATGTCTTGTTCTCTGGAGTTCTTCTGTGAAAAAGTGCTATGGTCAGAAAGTAACAAAAATGGTGTGACATCAACCTGAAGATAAAATTCAGTTCTTGTTTATGTACATAATGCTGAAAAATAAAATAAAATGTTTTTTACAGTATTTATATTTGCTTATAAAATTCTAACATTATTTTCAACAGGTTTAGTAGTTTTCAACGTGTCTGTACACTTTGGATATACACTATATGCTTTTCACTGAAAATTCAAAACCGTAAAACAAATAAGCTCCTAAATAGCTGCAAAATATTGCTAAACAGTATGGAGGAATGAGGTCTTGTTGAGTAGTTTATTTCATTTAGCTCTGGTGTATGGCTTCCCATATTTAAGAATCCTGGACAGTCAAAGGAACAGCGGCATAGGCAATACAAACGTGCATTAATAGCATCCAAACTATCTATAATGGTAGATAATACGTAATTTTACTTGTTGAACGCTTGCACACTACACTTATTGTGGTACATATTTGATGCAATAAATGTGCTTAGGTCATTATCTGTTTGCTCAAACATGCACCACAGGTCAAAAATGACTATTTACATAGCAGAGGGCTTTTCATTAACATGTACAACAACATCAACCTTACTGAGAGCTGAAGAATGGCTAAACAATACTGCAGGATAAAACAGAACAACTTTATAAAGGGCTCTTTTTGATCAATTTGGAGGGCTGAGGCAGATTCATTTAGTATTTGTATGCAGAAGGACATTTGACAAAGACAAAATCTGTGACTCCGGATGTAGAAAGAAGTTTGTACTTTCTGAAACTTAATGGTCTGTGCAAAAAATAATCTGTCTCTACTGTTCTTGTGAGCTACAGGGGACTTTACAGGCATACCAAGACTTCTTTGGACGTGATACAACATGAATACATTAATTAAGCACCTCAAAATCTCTTATTCCTTTCCAGAAACACCGTGCTAAAAAAATCTGTTGTTCTTTGTGACTTAATGTTATTTTCATGCATGATCTATAAGTGCAGCATGCCTTCATGCAAATCATTTCTGTGTGTGTATTAGTTGTATAATAGAAGACCTGGCCCTTGTACCTCTAAAGGTGTACTTCATCCCCTTCCCCAACAGAAGCCCCATTTACAAAAATAGTCACATATAATAAACAACATATGAATAAAAATAAGATGAATCCACCAACAGAGGTTTTGTAAAAATATGACGTACGTGGCAGTTGAAATGCAAACAGTGGATACAGTTACCCTATTATTTTATGCTAAACACACAAATACTTGGCTTGCACACCTTTAACTGGTCCCTACAGTCTGAGTAGCCATTTTTTCTCTCCTCTTCAGCAGTGTCAGCTGGTAGTGAGAACAGTAACCTCCTGTCAAGCTTGTTTCCTCATATCACAGTCACAGTCACTGACGAGGGGTCACTGTCTTTTAATAGGCACTGACCTTTAATGTACAGTATATTTGTAAAAATTGTCAGTTTGGCATAGACCTCCAGCAGGAGTCCTGTTAACACAAACACATGATCCTTACAAGCTATGAACTATTTTGCACATAGATGATTTTGTTGCTATTTGCTTTTATTTCTGAACATCTTTATCTTCCTTTTCATGCTTTTCTTTGACTGACCTTGTTACACGATCATAAGAAGGTGGACAAACTGCTGTAGATGCGGTTATATCGGTTTTCTCTGTAAATGAGTTTTCATTTAACTTGTCAATAAGGATTTCATCTTTCATACCCTGACCAGCCCCTCCTTCAGTTTTGTTTTTGTTATACATAAAGGAAGCTTGTTTTACTGTTCGTTTTAAAAGGTGACGTCTATAAGCCCGCTGAATAATGACAGCAGATACCTCCTCCTGTTTTCGTTTCAATGTGGTTGTAATTGGTTCATAGGAAGCTTTTGAAGGATTGGATGCCATAAACCGATCTTCCATCTGTATTCTGAGGGCGTCCATCTCTCCACTTTCCCCCAAAACACGCTTTGTGAAAGCAAACAAGATGTCAAGGCAGTGAATTCTGTCACCGCTTACCATGGGTAGGTCCATTGCAATAAGCTGGACTTTGTTTGGTTTGGGTAGATGGAGAGGAGGCTCAAGTGCTGCTGCAAAATCAGATAATTTCTCAAATTCCATGAATTGTGTTGCATCGGGATCAAACTTCTCCCAGACTTCATAGAACATCTCAAAGTCATCCTCGCTCAAAGGTTCAGCACTTTCTTCAGTAGCAACACCGAAGTTCTCCAAAATCACAGCAATGTACATGTTCACCACCACCAGAAATGATATGATAATGTAGCTGACAAAGAAGAAAATCCCAACGGAAGGGTTGCCACAGTCACCTTTCACAGAGCTCCCCGGATGAGCTTTGTTAGGGTCACAGTCTGGCTCCCCACTGTTAAGAATTGGGGCTAGCAAACCATCCCAGCCAGCAGACGTGGTAATCTGAAACAGGCAGATCATGCTGTTGCCAAACGTTTCAAAGTTGAACATGTCATCTATACCAGCTTCCCTCTTAACATAGGCAAAGTTGGACATGCCAAATATCGCATAGATAAACATGACCAGGAAGAGCAGCAGCCCAATGTTGAACAGAGCGGGAAGAGACATCATCAGAGCAAAAAGCAGAGTGCGGATTCCCTTAGCGCCTTTAATGAGACGCAGGATTCGACCGATTCTGGCAAGTCGGATGACTCTGAATAGTGTGGGGGACACAAAGTACTTTTCAATCATCTCTGCTAAAAACATACCTAAAACAGAAAAAAATAAAACCAAGATACATTACCACTTCATCTCCATACCATAGTAGAAATTTAGAAAAATAGTTTTATAATTGGTGGCTCTATATAGCAATTAAAAATTCCATTTGCATAATTTCTGTTTTACCGGTTATACTTAATATTTGCAGGTGCATTATATGTTGAATGATTATAACAGTTTTGATGATTGGATTAGGTAAATTCTTAAATAAAATAAAAAGTTGCATGACTTAGTTGTAAACCTCGCAATGGCAAAAGCCAACTATATACCTCTATTCAAGTAAAAGTTCACCTTATATTCATTTACCCTCTTTTTAGTTTAATAAGCAAGACTTACCTACTATGGAGAGAATGACAACTACAAAATCAAAAATGTTCCAGCCTATAGTGAAATAGTAATGGCGAAGTGAAATTAATTTCAGGACACATTCTCCAGTGAAAAGGACAATGAACACCAGGTTTATCCAGTATAAGATATTTTCCATTTCTTTACTCTGGTCATCCGTTTCTACCATCATGGTAACCATGTTAAGACAAATAAGAATCATGATGCTGATGTCAAATACTTGCTGTGTCACAAAATCAAAGACCATGCCTTGGAATTTGTTCTGAGGAGAGAAGAAAAAAAAGAAACAGCCAATACAAACTGTAACTGTTTTTCTTTTCCTGTTAGAAGAAAGTAGAAAAAGGCATGCAGTAAGGCCTATGAGACTTCAATAAAAAGGTAACTAGTGGTCATAAGTAGAGCAGTCAAATTAAAGTGACTACAAGAGCTTAGTTCAGCCTCCTTTGTTTGTATATTCACACATAAAATGGTTGCAAGGGAAAATTTTTTTTTTTACTGTATTTTCATTTTCCATTTTTGCTGACTGATACACTAGTTAATGATAATTTTCGCCTGGGCATATTTCTGCTCTGTCTCTATCAATAAAAACTGAGCTGTTTGTAAATAGCTATTGGTCTGATGTATATGAATAAATTTACCCCTGGTCTTGGTATAGGTTTTTGTGGCTTTTTGGATCCCAGTTTTTTCATTGCATTATAGTATTTCTTCTGCTCTTCTGTCATAAATATGTCTTGACCTCCAAAGTAAAAACACGAAATAAAAATTGGTTATAATCACATTTATGTACAGTTTTAAAAAATTCTTAAAGAAAAATGTGTTAGTTATTTATTTCATGAAAATCAAGAAGACTGAACCGGGAAAAATCTCTCAGCTATCAAATGCAGCTGTCTGCAGTCTAAGCATTTAGTCCAGAAGTTGTCTGGACATCCAGATGTCTGCATCTCACAAAAAACAGTAACACAGCATTTTTCTACAGTTATTTTCCTTGAACTCCAAGTAATCCTTTTCAGTACCTCTTTTCTTTTATGGGAAGAGAAACAGCATCTAAGCTCAAATAGCCCAGGCTGCTCAGTACTGCCACTTCTGAACTGCAATTTTAGTGGAACAAAGGAAGCCGACAAAGGCAGGTTTTCAGTACATGAATGTGTTAGTGCTTTAGGTATTTCTAGTTTAGTAATCACAACATTAGCAGTGGGACTCAAAATCATCGAGGTTTTTGACAAGATGGATTGACAGACTTTGGAGAAACTGAGCTGAAGATTGTAGCACTCTTGATACTGTTAACAGCAAAATGCTCCTTTTTAAGTCTTTTATCTTGATTAGCTTCCATGTTCAATGAAGTTCTGATTAGCAAAAGCCAGAACTGGCCTTTAGAGTCTGACAGTGAAGACAAAGAGAGAATTATGGGTCTTTCATGACAACCTAACCAAAATCCACTGCCCATAGTAGCTTTCTTGTAGAAACAGCTTGAATGAAAATCCATCAGACTCCACATACCTCTTGAAGTAAATTTTTCCTGGATAAAAGATACATTCAGTCATCTAATTCCAGGAATGTCTATGAACATATAGGACTGGATGCAGCCCTTTTGTGGATGACTGGTTGGGAAGCTTGAAGACATGGGAGTGCATGCATCGTACACTGGACGGGCTCCCTAACCATATACCTCAAGACGTCTAGCATGTGCAGCTTCCAAAAATATTAATTAGCATCTCTCATTGGTAACAAAAACCCAAAGAAAGTGATGAAGTCCAGTAAGGTAAAATTAAACTAGTAATTCATAACTGCTTTTGTCCTTTAGCTTTCATTACCTTATCTTTTTACAGAAAATAACTTTAAAGATGAGCATCTGATACTCAGACCCTCTATATCGGTGAGATTATCTACACCTGCACTATGAAACAATAAAAAAAGGCCCTTAAGATAGTTACAAACCACTCCTGTTCTGTATAGTTTCAGGTCGTTCAGTGCCATAAAATAGAACTTGAATACCTGGGATCATTAAAACAGCATCTGTAGTAGCGTGGTGAAATAATGCTTTATTTTTCATAACCAGGTAGCTATTTTTTTTTTGTGCTAATAGAATCACTACAAATCAAGAAGAAAAAAAATCAAGACATTATGAGTGCTTTAATGTAGAGGCCTAAATCAGGGGTTTGATCATGTAAGGAGATTTCATGAAGCTTAGGCATGGAAAAGCAGACAACTTGAGGAAGATTAAACTGGACATTGAAAACAGAAGGGTCTGTCCCATTCACTGCAATGTGAAAATCTTATGACGTTAATGCATACTACATCTTGGTAAGATTTTATATCCTAATATCCTTCAGCTTTTTCAATTTGGAACAAACCTTGGGTGTACGTTCCGTATATCATGCACCTGCAAAAATGCAATATTTTGGAATATATTTAGAAGAGAAATGAAATTATACTTATCTTCTTTTTTTGCTGATTGAAGTTATCAATAATGACACCAATGAACAGGTTCAGGGTGAAAAAAGACCCAAAAATTATAAAGATGACAAAATACAAATACATGTACAGGTTGTCTTCATACTTGGGTTGGTCTAACACCTAAGAAAAAAAAAGTGAAATATCATTCCTAAAATTTTGACTGAACAAGCAGCAGCCTTGGGCAAAACGTCCTTAGTATTTTGTGGTTGGACAACACTCTTGTCTCTTATATCAATGTATTTTGTCCATTCCATCTATTACTGTCAGCATCTGGAAGTTTGCATTCCGTTTTCCACAATTTGTTACAGCAGTATCTCATATTAGTCAATTTAATATTTTTTCATTCTGTTGTATGGATATTAATTGCTTTTGGAAGATATATAAATACACACTTGTTGATAGACAGATCTCAAGAAAAAAAGGTAATTTAAAATATTTGCAGTACTTACATCTCTTGAGTCAATAGCTGCATACATAATATCCATCCAGCCTTTAAATGTAGCCTGTAAACAGTACACACCTGTTTAAGCATAGAGCTCAAAGACAATTTATATATTTTTTTCCAGCAACTGACTACAGCACCAGGAATAATTAGCATAGCATGAGATTTCTAGATAATCTTGTCTTGGCTTTCTTCACAGCTGCTCATCAAATACACTGCTACGTATCCCCCTATTTTGTCTCTATATGAATGTTTGAAGCAGTAAGCATAATTAACTTATTTCTAAATAATCATCACAATGATAGAATGCAGGACCATTTTAGTGGACTAAATGTTCATCCAGTCATGTCAACTGCAAAGGCTATGTACATCCGAGAAACAGCCTTGATGTAACCGAGTTGCCACCAATGAAGACTGATGTGTAGTCCCTCCCTCTCTAATCAGTCAGAAAGGTGGCAACCAAAGGGAACAAAAAATTTGATCAGCTCAGAAAAGGTATTTTCCTATCAATCAGAATTTTGATTTTTCTCTACTTTGAAAGACTGTACCTGATTTAGTAATTCTATTTTCACTTTAAATATATTGTATTGTGTTTTACAGAGGCTAGATCCCTCAGATATGTTCTGAGATAAACTGGTAAGAAAAGGATGTTCTTTATGTGCATTGCAGATTTAACATGCCTCGTAGGTGGCAGCATTTAGTGAACTTTTATAGCTATTTCCTCTGCCCAAAATCTGTAATTTTTTGTATTTGACAGTGAGGTGTAGGTTGCTTCATCTGTGTTCAAAGCAGAAAGTAATTTACTCCGTTGTAGCAATTCGTTCTCTTTTGACTAGGCAACATCTCCAAGTAGAAATCACTCAGTTCTTAGTCCAGTTGTTCCCAGAATAAAACAAAGAAATGAGAGAGTTCTCTGTCATTTAATGCCCTTATAATTTTGCTAAACAAGGCTGCAGACCATTGGTTCCTTCATATTCCTTGCCATAGAGACCAGTTGCAGAAACAAGTCAGGAATGGGACACTCTTCATCCATGTTTATTTCTGTATCTCCATCATCTTGAGGTTTCATTTCTAGTAGAGGTTTCATAAAGGCTTGCTTATACAGCATACAAAGAAGCTGGCATCATCCCGAAGTGAACTTAAAATGAGAAGGAATTATTTTCTTAAAGGAAAAGAGGTCCCTTACACTTTTGAAACAGTGGAATACTAAAAAGTGCATGATTATCCTGAGATGCAAATTCAGTATGCAACAACTTTCACATCTTGGGGCCAACAGAAAATATCAAAGTTCAGGCAACTTACAGTACGATGGTGAAATCAAAGTGTAGTATCAGAAGACCAATAAATCAACAATAAATCTGAAACAAGTAGAAGTCTCAGCTGAATAATTTAAAGTCTAAACAAGTCTAAATAGAGCAGGGTGATTACTTCATGTGTTACAGGTGCTGCTTTTGTTTCTGTCTTGGTACATTATTTGCATTTTTTGGAATGTCATAACTTAGGTTGAAATCAGCACTTTAACCCAAAACACTAAATGCAAATAATGGGTGTACTTTTACATCAGAAAGATGATGCAAATGATGGAGTGGCTCTTCTGCAAAGTGTGTGCAGTTGCCTCAGATTCAGGCACATGACGATCCTTGTGTGTCATCCTCCAGGCAAAGTGGAATTATTGTTGTTTGTAAATTCATTGGTGTAGATATGAAGAACTGAGCTGTTGTGTGCTTATTATTATTACTAAAAAGGCAACTTGAAAAGAGTGTGGGGGTAGAAAAATATAAATATAACATATTACTATCTTGCAGTTCAAAATATCTAAATTAAAATATGTATTTTCCCCAAGGAGTTTCACAAAACCATAAGATATTACCATTATTGAAGAAATTTAGAAAAAAACAACCCCAAAACCTGATTAAAAATAATAAACTATGCTTTCTCATCATATGTTTTGTTTTATTCTAAATTCCTCCTGAAAATTGGTGGAATCAGTGAATGTAATCATTATGCAAAACCATTTACACTAGTTAAGAACTTAGCTGTGAGAAAACAGATTTTTAATTCCCAAAGCAGAAGTATCAGTTCGGTAGGAGAAATTGTAGTTTTTAAATATGTTGCCTGAACAATAGCAAATAATGGAACTGGAGGTGCAGTTAAAGGTATCACATTTACTAAGTGTTATTTCTACTGCATTCAGTAGAAGCTTAGGCCTGCGTATGTTAGGCTTAAATTTATCTGCAACACATTTTCTTTAACAGAAATACGGTATTATTTGGGAATTTGTGCATAATGAACAGAAAATAACACAGCGATATGACTAAGAGATCAAATTCTTAGTTTCCTTTTTGTATATTAAAATATAAAAATGTATTGTATATTCTCAGTGACACTAAATCAGGAGTAATTAATTGATTTAAGCGATTACAGCAGTATAACTGAAGTCAGCAACTGTTCCAAATGTTTTATACCCCAAGGAAATTTGAAAGACATATATTCAAATGCAGATCCAAATGTAGTTAGAAAAACCAACAAAACAAAAATCCCCCAATCTACTTTGCTATTATTAAAAGTATGTTGACTTTTTCCCCTGATGAATAATTTCTAATGAAGTTATAGGTAATGCTGGAATTTCACCACTCCACTTATTTACCAGAAACAACCACCAGGAAGAATCACATTCCCTTTTGGAGATACAGTAACACCTTGCTTTTAAAATACTAACCTGCTGGAACTTTGAAGCCCTCCTAATCTTGTAGCCCTAAAATTCAGCTTCTGATTTTCTTACCCTACACTCAACAAGGTGTGTTTTCTTAGTTATATTAGTAGCAGCAGAATAATATAACATTGTGCTTTGAGAGCCACTTGTTTGCCGCATTTTGTCCTGGTAAGCAGCGTATACACCTACCAGCAGGATAAAAGCAGGTTTCCAGGAGATTTACTTACCAACGAATCCAAACACTAGGTTCAAGTTAAAAAGGCATAAGGCCATAAAATTATCAGGGCAGATGCTACATCTCTGTGTGTACACAAACCTCTTCTTCTTCACTCATTTGATGCATGAAAATTGTGAAAGGAAATTCTCCAGCAGATATGTCTCTGCTTTGTTGCTTTTCTTTAAGGACAGAGAAATACTCAAACAGGTTCCGACCAAGAAATAAAAAAAGAAGTTTGCAGATCCACATAGACCAACATGAGCTATGCTGGACCATAGAAGAAAAAAATTCTTATGGAGAGGATGTGTACTTATATGACCGATGGCATGAATATTTACACTCCAACTTCAAATTATGTAGGCATTTTGGAAAATAGTCTCTGATCAACAAAGTTTATAAAACTTGGTTGTATCAATGGCATATATTGTTAGCGTGGCGCAGAAATAATTATAACATCGCTGTAACAGTACTAAAGATTTTCCACACACACCCCTCCTCCCCCTCCCCCCAAATACAATATGGAAACCAAAAATTAGTTCTTTTCTTAAGTCCCTCATTCCAGAAATTCATTCCCTATCACCATCAAGGAAACTCAAGAAAGAGCTTCTCAGAGAGGGTTTTTTTTTACTTAAAAAGCCACTGACACACATTTCCAATATATTTTTTGAGCCCAGAATATTTCTTTCTGAAATGATCCCACTTCTTTTGAGTATTTCTGTCTGGCATATCTATGTTTCTTTTCTATATTACTCTTAAAAAAGAGAGTTTTCTTCTGCGATGAACAGAGCTTATAAATAAGCTACCAGAAAAAGCTTTTCATGATTCAAACCAAAAATTGTTCACGGGACTCATTTATGTCTTTCCCAGAATAATAAGGTCTTCAGGTCCATGATCTGGAGTTCTTTTGGCTTGTTTTCATTTGGATTTTTTTTTTTGGCATGAAAATGGTACTACTTCCAGTAGTGTTCACTCCAGATAGAAAACCTCAGTGATGCATAAAATAGATTTATGTTGTATTACCTATGAACTAGAAAAGCTGAAGGGATTTACAGTATTATTCTTTGACTGGCTCAAAGAGTCAGAGAGTAGATTGGAGAATGGAAACAATACTGGACTGTAAGAGACAGCTTTCTGGAGTTAGTTTCTAGCTTCCTGAAAAAGGGACCTTGTGTCTGTAATTCATGCATTGAAACTTATCACTGAGTTTGTCATTAGAAAAATGACATTGACCTCTACGGGGTTATTTTCTCAGATCCATCACAACCTAAACAAAAGTTTGTGGCTGAGTTTGTTAAGGTGGAGAACCAAATGACGTCAGACCAAATCATCATCATGATTTTAAAAATCATCATCATGATTTTCAACTAATCATTAATGTGTTAAAAAAGGGCCATTAATGTTTACACTGGGTGCACAGAAAGCATATCCACTTGCAACCATGACTATTCCTATTTTTCAGGCTTAATACCTTATTTTGGGTGAAATACTCAAGTTTCAATAGCTTTTTCTTTGTTTCTGACATAGTAATGGATACGTGCAATTAATTCTTAGTATTTATTGATCTTTACTATTACTACAAGTTGATTAGGAAAGGTAGGGAAATCTATGGTTATGACATACCTATTCACTTCTCATGTTTCTTGTGAACATGATGGCTTTAGAATCCTGTTCTAGATTCTCATCGAACGTACTTTATATATCAAATAGAAATCACCTTATAAATATCTTCTTTGATTGAGAAAATGATGTAAGAATCTCAGACTTATGAATTATGGCCTTTCTTGTGTTCTTGAAGGTGAAAAAAACTTAGATTCTGCCTATTTTAAAGCATTAGCTGAAAATCAACCTGATATTATGCCTTCTCTGTCCAAGGGCTTTTATTATTCCATAACTGCAAAATCACTACTAGGAACTTCTTACCAAACCCTAGAGGTGGAGAGTCAAGTGTCTGTTTTATGAAATGACAGAAGTGCCCCATTTTTTTCTGGTTTGTGAAACAAAAAAATCTCTTCATGCTTTTACAAGCTTTGTGGTAATACAGAAAAAATAAGTGTTGTTGTCACTAACATTCTACTCACACAAAAAAATCCATCCATTAGGCAAGCCTTTGATATCAGTGCAAAATCTCTATATTGTAGATACTGCAGAAACAACTGGCTTGTCCTCCCTTGAGAGCTAGGTTTGTCTACGTTAGTCTAGATTCATTTTTCCTTTGGAAGTATGGGAACAACTGGCAAATTTCTCCCAATCTGCCTCCCAGAACAATCCAATAATTGAAGAATCTAAGTCTTCACATAAGAAGTATCTGTTGCTTTTCAATGAAGAGAAGATGGAATAAGCTATGCACAGCCAGGACACTGAAATATGTATGACTGCAAGTAGCTGAGGGGTAGTGATTGTGGCCACAAAGCCAGGAAAAAACATACCTGGTGTTATCCCTGTCTCAGAATAGACTAGGTTACTACTGGAAGAAGACTTGCAAACCACTTGGAAAGAGTTTTGTTGATGTCTTGTTTCTCCTGAATATGTGTAATAAAGCATTCTGCCCCTTCCCAACCCCAAGGAGGATTCTAGGCCAGTGAATTTAAAAATAAGACAGAGAAAATAAGTACTTAAAATCTTTGTATTACAATCCAATTTTGTTGTCAAAATCAAATTGTCTTCAGTAGTTATTTCTTTAATACTGCTGGTCCCTCTCTGCTCTTTCCTAATGTGAGAGTAAAGTGAATAATTAATCATAGTGAAAGTTAAATTGTCAGCATTATGAGTCACACAGGTGAGATGCTGTATTAGCTGGGAGAGGCAGTTCACAATGCTTGAATTATTGTTTTAGATCCTGTGCAGGAACATGTCAATACCACTGCATCATGTTAATGATTTCTATCATTGAGATGTCTTATACCAACATGAAAGCTAAAAACTTACTTAAAAACTATAAAAATGAAAACTAAGATTCTGCAGAATTAGACAGTAACCTCAAAAAGCCATACAGGTTGCTAAATGCAGACAACATAGGTTAGAGTCCAGCATTTTCTTGATTAAAGCTGGGTCAGATTGTTAGCTACTCCAAAATACAAAGATGGCTAGTGTTGTGAGGACACAATTTTTGATAGCAAAGGCATAACCTTATAGTATCTTTCTGCATATATTTTCTTCCTTCTTTTCTTCCATCAGTTTTTGCTAAATGAACTCCACTGGGTGCTTATGCACAGAAACAGCAGGGAAAATATTTCATAGATTATAGTATCTAATGATATTTTTCTTTTCTGGTTTCTCTTACAAATGAGAAATTTCTTTTTAGATGACATAAGTCTGCACTGGTGGCAGCCACATCACTGAGATGGGATTTCCTACCTGGAATTCTTTGCCACTTAATCACACCAATGCAGATTGTTTTTCAGCAACAGTAAAACTTAAAGTATTCAGAGACCTGAATACCATTCCTAGGTATTTCTAGAAACTTAAGGTTAGAAGGGCCTGAAGGACTAAGGAAGCTATAAATAGGAATAATAGCACTTGTTCTGTCAGATGTCCTAAAAATTCTTTATTCATCTTAGTAGGCTCTATTTGCTACTTACTATGAAAAGAGTAATCAATTAGCAGTGCAGTGGTATTACTAAGCTAGAGGTAAAAATCATTACATAAGTATGTTTTCTGTCTTTGTTGCTAGAATTGCTTTTCACTATTACATATAAACAGTAAGAGGTATATAAAGAGTGATCACTTACTACTTGAAGTAAAGAAAGATACCCAAATCCTACATTATCAAAGTTTACTTTCACGTTTTTCCATCGGGCACTTTGATTGTTTTTTATGAGTTCCTCGCACTGACTAAAATTGTTGATTTGGTCGACTTCAAACCTTTCATCAGTTGTGGTGTTAACACAGTAGTAGAACTTCCCAGCAAACAGATTTACTCCCATGATGCTGAAAATTAGCCAGAATATAAGACAAACGAGAAGCACGTTCATGATGGATGGAATTGCTCCTAAAAGGGCATTCACAACCACCTAGTACACAAATACAGGGGAAAAAAGAAAAGAGTGTAAGAATATTTACAGCAATAAAGGTTTGTGTACTGTTTTACCAATGCTTAATAAATGCTTGTTCAGAAACTAATAGTAATAATATAAATGTTAAAGCAGTACATTAATAACTGTAACATTGCACTGTTCTTTTAAATACTTAACATTAGAACATGTAATGAAAGGAAAATAAGTGATAAAATTAAAATAATTAAAAGAAAAACAAAAGAGAAGACCTAGTAGTAATAAGATGAAGCCTGACACTGACATGTTCTATATAAAAAAGACAAATGTATTAAAGATAAATACAGACATAATAAAATTCAAAAAAATACAGCATATTATAACTTTAAAATGTTTAAAGAAAAATGGCAACCTGTAGATTTGACCAACAGCTTTGAAAGTTAAGCTGAAAACACAAATGCCATGAATCTAGAAACTAAGCTCTACATTAAAAGGATTATGCAGGAATTACATACATATCTTTATTGCCTTATTGTTCCATGCAAGAATATAACAAAGATTAATTTCTTTGTATAGAAAAGCAAGACAGTTTTGCAATATGTGTCTACTTGAATCAACATAATTTATTTCAAGCTCCAGTCTTATTGTTTCATGTACTGAGTTTAAGTCAGTAATACCCTTCATTTATCTAAAGAAGGACATATATATCAAGGACATATTTAGGGGTTTTGATTTTGCATTTTAAAGTACTTTTGGCCAGTTGCCTTCTCAGCCCCTTGCAGGCAAGATGTCAATAATTACTTATGTAGATAAAAAGTGTATTTTTCTGATATATACAGTAATAAATCACATGTGTCTGTCAGAGCTATCAAAACTTTTGAGATATTTGTTTGGCTAATAACTGAGCAATCATTTCTCCTTAAGTATCCAATACTAGGTCTCATTTACAAGTTATATTTTATTTTAAATTTTATTTTTTTTCTCTGTAAAACTTTTAGGATCTTGTAGGAAGGTAAAACAAAATATATAGTAGGGCTCTGATTCTCAGTAATCCACTTCCTGCAGTCAGACAGGAAAGGATTGACATGGATACTTGGGGTGTATTAAGGTGTCTTAGTCCATCTTTGTTCCCTGCTTTCTGCAACATAGAGGGATCTTCCCCACTACCAATGTAATTCTGAGCAAGCTCAGAGCTGCTCAATCTTACTACCTGTATGTCACAGCCTCTTGAAGGCCTTTGGAAGCCGAGTATTGTGGTTGTGTTACTGGTTGCTCAGCGCCCTCCTCCTCCCAAATGTTATGGCCAGGACTTAGGACCTGTTTAGAGATCTCAGGTGAAAATGTTATTTTCAGGACATATTTTCCTCTCATTCTAAGGGTCTTCTCCTCCATTGCCAGACAGTAGAAATGGGACCTTTGTGTAACTTAGAATTATCCCTATCGTTTATAAAACCATGATTTTTTTTTAAATTTAGCTTTTCTTGGCAGCTTCTATTTTTAATAACTTCAAAAGAAGCATGCTTGCTTTTCGAGATTTCTACTATAAAAAATGTGAAGTATCTAGGTGATGTATGCATAAGCTAGCTATTTAAAAAAGTGTTTAAAAAGGCTAACAAGGTCCCAGTCATATTCCTAACATAGGAAACCATTTTCAAAGGAGTGAGGGTAATGTTTTTTACTATCCTGCGGGGAGAAGAAATCTGTTGCCACTTGGCTTGATAGAACTGAGAACAACATAAAAATTAGGAATGCAATGATTCTGGAATTTATTCCAAGTCTGACCTGATCTATGACACTGTATTATGCTATTGCTGCTTTGAAATCCTAGACCAGCTAGAGCTTGTTTTATCCTTTTCGGGTTTTGGGGTTTTTTTCCTTCACCCATAAAAACGTTCTGGATGTGTTATACTGATTGAATTCCTCTGCTTAATCCTGGTGAAAAACCTGAAAATAAAGATGTCAAGAAAGAAAGATGAGGATTTAGTCCTGCAGCTTAAATAAATTAAGGTTACCTGTGCCCACACTAAGAATGGTTTTGTATGAATGGAGTGCCTGTAGCAGTTACCTTTTTAAGAACCCTGAGATCCATTGGACCACAGCACAGATCCAGAACAGGCAGCAGAATACTAACAGCTACAGTAATTGTTTCAACAATTATGAATTGATAATAGTTGTAGAAAGAAATGTTTCTACAAAATGCCATCAGTGTGTCTCACATCTTTAGATGAACAGGTAATGCAGTCTCACTACTGAGACTGCCAAAAGATCAACCACATCTTCTTCAATAAGAAGTGAACAGCTTCCAGAAACTGTTCCAACAATGATTCCAACAACTTATTTCATATAGGTCACTGAAAATCCATCAAATGGTAACAATTTTTGGTCACTACTGACCTGGCCTGGATGCGAACTGGTGACCTAGAGATGAAAGGCTCTGTATCCTATTACCAACCCCTTGAGCTATCCAGTCCCCCTGGAAGGTTATTTAAGAAAAGAAGAAAAGAAAATTAAAACTTTTAGAAGTTGTTTTCTGTTTGTGTTTTGTTTTTGTTTGATTTTTGATTTTTTTTTTGCCCCACCACTGTTGAGCCTTTGCCCTATCATATTTATAATGTAAAACTTCATTTTTACATGCTGGTCAGATGTTTGGCTGACTGTAAAGTCCACCTTAGGAAGAAGTCTTTAATTTCTTCAACATATACAGTTGGAGGCAATTGCTTTATCAGTGTGTTTTCCGTTTACTTTTTTGGTATTTGCTTTAGGAAGAGCTGAGATATATCAGGATAACCAGGACATTAGCTTACATAATATATGTCCAAGATAGCACCCATACATACACACATGACACCTACACACATAAGTTACAGCAAATGGACAGAAAAAAGTGAGAACCAATTGAAAAGTGAACTGAATGCAGAAAAGACATTGATTAGCATTCCTTGCTGAGCTAAAAAATTTAGCAAATAAAAATAGTCAATCTCATCTTGTTGAAAAGAGTCTGTAGTGGGTTAAAAGAACATTGGCAACTACAGCTCTTATTTTGTCTCATTCTTCAAATCTAGATCAGATGCATGTGATTCTAAATGTATTTTTTATTTCAAAAGGAGCTGTTCTTTTGGGCTTATTTTCTGTTATTCCTTAATATAGAATATAATGTCAATTAACTGGAAAAAGATGTTTGCAGAGCTCTAGACCATTTTACATCTCAGTCGGTATTCATTCAGGGGGAAAAAAAAAAATTGTGGGAAACCATGTCTCCTCTAGAAAAAAGCAATATTTCATGTATATACACAATTATTTCACGTTTACATTTTCATAACATTTATCTTCCAACATCAGATATATACGATAAAAGAATTACTGCAATGCTAATTGTCTGTCTTATCTTCTGGTCGATATGACATTATGTCAATACAAATCAGTAGTCCAGTTGTTTTTTGTTGTTGCTATTTGTATCTTTTTTTGGACAACAGTCCAAAGAAGACAGCAACTGAAAAAAATGAAAAAAAAAAAAAATCAGTTCTGCTACCAGAGCTGTGCATATGTATAGAATGAAGATTACGCAAAATACTAGCTTATCCATGCTGTGCAAGTAGAATATATGGAAGTTTTACTGGATTCAGCTTTGCTGTGGGACACATATCTGAAACACACAGTGAGATGTAAATGTATTGTAGTTCCCACAGCAAAATACCTTCAATAGGTCTTGGGACCTCAGCAGCCACAAGCTTTCCAGGAATG